ATAACACCTGCAGCAACCAACCCACTAATATGTGCCATGTCAGCTAACAGAATTGCTTTCTGCTTGTCACTGACCTGTCCATAAATAAATTAGAGTCTCTTAGTTTCTCAATGTTGAGGAAAAAATTTCAATGATATACGACAAAATCTTCTAACAGCAATTCAAGCAAAAAGGTGTTTACCTTGCGGATACGTGCATAGTCATAAAGCCGAGCATAAGCACTGGCACCAGCAACTATAAGTTTTGGTCTGAAAAGCACAGCACTTTTCTCCAACTGAAAACATTTTTATTCATCTAAATCAACTCTTTTAAAGAGACCATCAACTTTCAACTAAAATTTCCAAGAAAAAACTTATATGAAAGAAAAAATATGCAAAAAGCTTTCGACACTGAAAAGATCTTTAGCTTCCACACCACTGCAGAATTTGATTTAAGATATCAATGCAAGTTCCATACATCTGACATGAAAATCTGATATAACTTGAAAACTTCAAAACCATTCAATTGAAAAAAAAATTAACTATAAAGAAATAATTATCTCTTTACAAGTTAAATTATGCATAAAAGATACAGCATGTAGCAAATATTCAAACAATGTTCCAGACATGAATCTTGAAAGGGTTGTCAAAAGTAAAAGAAACGGACATCAAAATGTGCATCCCTGGTTTTTTACAATACACAGTTACTGACCTATCTTTGGATAGCCAAATTGTAGAAAATAATTGCAAAGGTTATTGAATATATTGGGATAGTGATTGTACTGTAGCAGAATTCTGCTATGTTTAGATAAACAAAAAATTTAGCTTATCCTAAAAAATACAGTTACTGAGTCAGTTACTCGTGTAGATTATCAGAAATGCATGCATTCTGTTTTTGAAGATCCACAACTTTAAAATAGGAAAAGTGGACATCTCTACCAATATGGAATAGAATAGAAGAGCTACCTGATCATAGTCGATATAACCTGTACTCTCATTCAATCTGTATGGCATTGTCTCAAAGAATATGGACACAGCAGATATCTTCTTAGTGTCAGTCTGCGTGATGCAAAGAAAAATTGAAAACTTGAGTTTCAAACACTATAAGCAGCAGTTTAATGGCCTTAGATTAATATTACTTGATATGCTATTTCTTACACAATAAAGGCAGGTCAAAAAATACAACTAGAGTTTACCAAGAGCAGACATAATGTAACCAAGTTCAGCAGAACAGCTCATTATTAATGGAAGTTCAAAGCACCTGATAACCATGTGAAAGATGTCCACCATGGGGTAGATCTAGTGCCATAATTCTTTCATGAGGTTTCAACAATGCAGTATAAACTTGAAAGTTAGCAGGAGATCCAGAAAGTGATTGCACATTGACTGCAATAATGAAACAGATAGAGGATAGGCTATATGCTGTCTAAAAAGTAAATATTCCATATCCAAAATCCTTAACATGCTCAAAATAAAGAGTAAAAACAGATATACAACTAAATATGAAAGGTATGTTGACATTTTGATAACATTTCAACATGCAGGTCCTTAAAAATCAACCTTAGCTCATAATGAAGAAAGAAAAAAGGTATGCATGATTCATTCACCTCCCCACTTTGCAGGATCCAACCCAAAAGCCTCTAGTGCACGCTTTTGACACAAGGACTCAGCCATGTCGATATACCTGATCAAATAAGAATTAACAAAATCAGACATTCACCTCACCCTACTAAGAATTTGTACTAAAAAGTAAAACCACATAAACCATATATAGCAATGCATCTTATTTTCCAATTTGATTCCCGAAAAATTACAATCAGTCTGAAATCAATTTTAAATGACCTCATATCCATTTTCTAATTGATATTAGCAGTGAAACAAAATGGGCAATATACGAAAGCAAAGTACATTGTCTTACTCATTTCCTCCATAGTATCTAGCACCAGGATATCCTTCACTGTACTTATTGGTCATGACGGAGCCTACTGCTTGCATCACTGATAAGGACGTAAAATTCTCGGATGGTATAAGTTCAAGTCCCTATCACAAAAAAAAAAAAAATGATCTCTCAATCAGGCAACACCTAACTAAAGTTACAGAAAAGGAAAACTATTTTATTCTTTTCCAATGGGTCAAATCCCAATAGATTATAAAATTAAAATCAGAAATGCAAAAAAGGATTGTCATTTGAATTGATTAAATACCTTCCATTGCCTGGCTTTCTCGAGTTCGATAATGTCAGCAATTTCAGGATCGATTTCCTCGAGCGGAGCGTTCAACTGATGTATCCACTACAAAACCAAAAACATTTTTTTGGCTATTAAAATAAATCAAAATTCAAGATCAAAGATCTAAACCTTCATTGAAAATAATAATAATAACAAGGCTTACTTTAGCACGATCTTTCTCTTTCTCTGCTGCAGCTGTTGACTGCAAATGAAAATAAAATGAAAATATTAAAAAAAAAAGACGAAGTTTAACTAAAGAAGCAATGAAACAAACAAAACGTTTAGATTTTGGACCATATAATAGAGGGAGCTGCCATTGAAGAGAGGTCTGATTGGAGATTTTATGGAAGAAGAGAATCTACGAAGGCTCATTGCCACCGCCATTACTCCCGTTTCGAAATTCCGAGGCGTTTCGACTGTTAAAAAGAAAAACGGAAAGTCTCTGAGGCTGCGAGGGGGTTGGTGGAGGACAAAGACTGTTGCTTATGAATATGGCATAATAGAAGTGCAGGCTGCCACTGCAGATTGAAGTTTGCTCGGGGTTAGTTTGGTGTTGCGGTGTAACGTCACTCGCTGAAACTGCCACACAATCATTTCAAGATGGCCGCGGTAGGTGACTCGATCTCAACGACGTCGTTTGGAATTACAAAAATGTAAAGGTGAAACTAGATCAGCCCAGGCCCATGCTTAGTCCCATTAAGGGAAGGAAATTAGTTTTGAGAGGAGCCCAAACTAATAGGGCTAGCCCAATATTATGTCAAGAGGGACCAACCACTCCTAGCCCTCTAGGTGGCATTAGGTTGGATAGAAGCTTAAATTTACCAGGCTTAGCCCAATCTTAACTGGATTCGGCATGGTCTAAAAAAAAATAAAAAGAATGAAATATTTAAAAATCGAATTATATATAATTATTAGAAAAGAAATAACAATATATAAAATTAATAAAAAATATTAATAAAAATTAATAATTTGATATCATGATAAAAGATAATTAGTGAAAATGAAATGTCTATATGTAAAAGTATTATTTATTAATAAAAAGAAAATGTCCATATGTAAAAATTAAAATTAATAAAAGAAATATCAGTATTTATATATGAAAATTAATAAAAAAGATTAATTATTTGGTACTATGACCAAATATAATTAATGAAAAGGTAAATGACTATATGTAAAATTAATATAACAGGAAATGTCTATATTCATGTGAAAATTACAAAAGTGATTTTAATTTCTTTTTATTGTTTTCATATAAATATAAACATTTTTATTAATAAATAACTGTTATTTATTATATTTATTAAAAGTATATGTACGTCAAAATTATTTATTATTTGATACCATGATCGAAAATAATTAGTGAAAAAATGTTTATATATAAAATTAATAAAAAATTAAAATTATTTTTATGACTTAGAATGTACATACGTTGTAAGGCAAATTTATACTAAAAATTATATACCAGAAATTAGAGAAGTCTCGATTAATTAATCAAAATGATCTCATTTATTGAGAAAAACAATGTAAAATGCCCAAATTTTAACTTTCCTTGAGACAAATGCTGGCTGAGAGGACTTAGTTTGTATTTTAGTATTTAACCTTTTCCTTAAGTTTTTAGAAACTACGAAATTTTAGAATCTTCAGCCATTTTTGTCATCAATGCATAGTTTTATGCACGTTGTCCTACATCGAAAGCTACGTTCATGAAGAGTTATGTGATTATCTTCCTTAACTAGTAACAAACAGACACTTTTGGGACGACCTTTCTTTTGTTAATTCTCTAAATTATTCCCGAACTGATATTAAACCTTTAAATTAACGAATTAATATTTATTTTTGCAGAAATTCTTATTGAAGCGAACAAACTTTAACTACTCTTTGCTTCTTCATATAGAAATTGCCGTCCAAACAAAGTAAGACTAGGGCCTCGTTTGGCTGATCTTGAAGAAATCGATCCAAATATTAATGCTGAACAACTAGTACATAAATTTTTTAGGAATGATTTTTCTATTTCTTTTTCTTTTCAACCAGCATGATCATGACAACAAAAGGTATGCTGTATGTACAGACAAAATATACTATTTATGGGAAAATTGCAGCAAAACATTCTCTCCCTGAATAAAAAAGTGACATTGCAGCTAAGATTCATTCATTTGTTCCTATTGGTTTGATTATTCTTTTCTCTATGGGAATTGTGGAAACAGTAGCAACACCGAATGTACTAGACGAGAAAGTACTCACAGAGGAGCCTGTAATCGACGAAAGCGAGCTCGCTCCGATAGAACAAGTTCGTCTAACAGTGCCAAACACCGATGACCCTTCGCTCCCAGTATGGACTTTCCGTATGTGGCTCTTGGGTCTTTTCTCTTGTGCTCTTCTTTCATTCCTGAACCAGTTCTTCGGCTACCGAACGGAGCCACTGGTCGTCACCCAGATTACAGTCCAGGTTGCAACTCTCCCCATCGGAAGGTTCATGGCTTCTGTTCTTCCTACGACTAAGTTTCGTATACCTGGGTTTGGTTCAAGGGAATTCTCACTCAACCCGGGACCTTTTAACATGAAGGAGCATGTTTTGATTACAATATTTGCTAATGCTGGAAGTGCTTTTGGAAGCGGTACTGCCTATGCTGTTGGTATTGTTACCATTATCAAGGCATTTTATGAGAGGAGTATCCCTTTCTTGGCTAGTTGGCTTCTTATCATTACTACACAGGTTGGTTAAATTACTTTTAGCCTTCAAAGTTCAAGAGTAAGACCCTCAAAAGACATGATATACATATGTTAACGAGGTATGAATATGATAACAGATTTAAAAGAAGGGGCTGAGACTATGGAATGAGTTTTTGTGCAGGTGATGGGTTATGGTTGGGCGGGACTCCTGAGGAAGTATGTGGTCGAGCCGGCGCATATGTGGTGGCCCTCTACCCTTGTTCAAATTTCTCTCTTCAGGTAATTCACTATTTTAGAATTAAATAATAAAAGACATGTTACACACAATTTGATAACATTTACTATATTATATACTTCCATTATTCAGTGAAACATTCACCAATAGTGAAATTTCCATATAAAGTAGTGCTATAGGTTGGCCATCCTGAAAAATTTTATTGCTGTTACACCAGGACTCTGCATGAAAAAGAAGAAAATGATGGCAAGCGCCGCATATCACGAGTGAAATTCTTTGCGATTGCATTAATTTGTAGCTTCTGCTGGTATGTATTCCCAGGGTACCTCTTCCAAACCTTGCAGAGCATCTCGTTGGTGTGCTTGGCCTTCCCCCATTCGGTAACTGCCCACCAAATCGGCTCAGGCATGAGTGGTCTTGGCTTAGGAGCCTTTACACTTGACTGGACAACAGTTGCCTCCTTCTTGTTTAGCCCACTTGTTTCTCCCTTCTTTGCCATCGTAAACGTCTTCATAGGATATGTCTTGATAATTTATCTAGTGATACCAGTATCTTACTGGGGGATAAACCTGTACAATGCTAAAACTTTTCCCATATTTTCGTCGGACTTGTTCACATCAAAAGGTCAGTCGTACAACATTACTGCAATTGTTAATGACAAGTTTGAGCTAGATTTACCACAATATGAGAAAATAGGGAGGGTCCATCTGAGCACTTTCTTTGCTCTCACCTATGGATTTGGGTTCGCCACTATTGCATCCACAGTAACACATGTGGCCTTATTTTATGGAAGGTAATTCTCAATTAGTAGTATTTCAGAAGGAAAATTGATTGCTCCATTTGCAGTTTCCAAGACTTCCAATTGATCATTTAATATCTACTATAGCAGCATCTTAAGTCAAGACGATCATGTTAATTACAGGGAAATTTATAGTAGATACCGAGCTTCTTCGAGGGAAAAGGGTGATGTACACACAAGGTTGATGAGAAATTACAAGGACATACCTTCATTGTGGTTTTATTTGCTTCTTGCCTGCTCAATTATTGTTGGTCTTGCACTCTGTATCTTCCTTAAAAAGGATGTCCAGATGCCTTGGTGGGGACTGATATTTGCTGCTGCAATTGCCTTCTTTTTCACCCTGCCTATCAGCATTATAACAGCCACGACAAATCAAGTAATTTCAGATGGAAATTTTGCTTATCAAAAGGGATAAGTTCTTTTTAATTTCCACTTATTGGTTTGTTATATTTATTATAAGATCCTAATTGACGAATGTTTATGTTCTCTCCCTGTAGACACCAGGGTTAAATATCATTACAGAGTATATAATGGGAGCAATATTGCCTGGAGAACCAATAACCAATGTCTGTTTTAAGACCTATGGGTACATAAGCATGGCTCAGGCAGTTGCGTTTCTAGGTGATTTCAAGCTCGGTCATTACATGAAAATCCCTCCAAGATCAATGTTCCTGGTTCAGGTATTATAATTTATTCTCTCTATATTTAATTTTTAGTAGAGTTAATGTTACAAATGATCTTTGAATCATAGTGGCTGTTCAATGTGGTATAAATGCATAAATACGTAAAGAATACATGTGTTGAGTAACTAAGGACGTAACGTGATATTTAAATTATAAATCTAATAAATAATATGATATTTACTTTTAATGTGATTAGCGATAAAAGTGACAAGCAAACAGTCATCTAATTATCATATTAATTAACAGATTTAAAAATCATATTAATATAAATCACCAGTTATTCATGACATTATCCTTTTTTATTACTAACTTATCTTTATTTTTCTGCATCTAACTTGCATAATTCTCTTACACTGTTCCACTATTGCATTTGCATATCAGTTCATTGGCACCGTTTTAGCTGGAACAGTCAATCTTGGTGTGGCCTGGTGGCTTCTGACTTCTGTCCCTAACATATGTCACCCAGATCGTCTCCCAGCCAACAGTCCTTGGACATGCCCCGGTGATAGAGTCTTCTTTGATGCATCTGTTATCTGGGGTTTGGTTGGACCTAAGCGAATTTTTGGCTCTCTTGGACAGTACTCAACGCTCAACTGGTTCTTCCTGGGAGGACTCTTGGGACCAGTTATCGTATGGCTCTTGCACAAGGCATTTCCTAGCAAAACTTGGATCCCCCTTATCAATCTGCCAGTACTTTTAGGAGCGACTGGTAGCATGCCACCAGCATCACCATTGAACTATACTTCCTGGATTTTGGTTGGAACTATCTTCAACTTCTTTATCTTCAGGTATCGAAAGCAGTGGTGGCAGAGGTACAACTACATTCTATCAGCAGCATTGGATGCAGGAGTAGCATTCATGACAGTCTTACTTTACTTAGCGCTGGGCATTGAGAATAAGGGTTTGAACTGGTGGGGTGCCAGTCCTGACTATTTGCCAGAGCACTGTGATCTAGCAGGTTGCCCCACTGCAAAGGGTATATCAGTCGATGGGTGCCCAACATTTTAGGCAAAATGATACAAAATGAGCCCTCAAACAATATAAAAATGATTCACTTAAGCTCCTAGCTTTGTATTTGAGGCAATTAAACCCTTGTACTATTGTTTTGTTTCAATAAAACCGAATTTGGATGAAAAATGTTGATTTGGCTCTGGTAACACACATATGCTGGCAACCACGCAGATTAAACTGGCTGATTCAAGTCGATTGTCCATAATTTCTTGCACTTTTGTTTGGTAAGAATGCAGGAAAAAATGGAAAGAAAACATATTTTTTTCTGTGTTTGATCGATCCATCTGCACTAGTCCTAATCCTTACCCTGTTTGCTTCGACCACTTGAAGCAATCACGGGTAGCACCAAAAAACAATACATAGTTCCCGCGCGTTATTGCGTTTAGATTGATATTACCCATTAGAATAAATTCAAGAACAATTCTTAATTGGACTGATAAAATAATTTCATTACAATTTTTCAATAAAAACTGGAGGGATAACAGAATAAAATTTTCTTTGCGAGAACAAAACTCTGGAAGTAAAGAATGATCACCACAACAGAAAATTTCTGAAAATTAGGTTAATAAAATAATAATAATTGTACATTATTTTACATTTACGTATGCGATTTTCTTTACGAGATCGAAACTCTGGAAGCAAAAAATATCATTACAACAGAAATTTTTTGAAAATTTTTAATCTAATTCAACAATTATGATATGGATATTTTGTAACAGAAAATAGATTTTGAAATAATGAATTTTAAAAAAAAATTAAAATAGCATGGACAACAATGAGCCACCAACGGCTTGATTTTCTAGTGAAATTGATAAAAGAGTAAACAAATTAGATCAATGAACTGAAGAGATCTTTTAGTTTTGTAAAAAAAAAAAAAGGTCACCAGTTAATATTGATCTATTGCAAATGTGTTGTTCTTTGATTTTTATGTTTTTAGTGACAAACGAAATAAACTCTAAAGACAAAAATAATAATATGTCAGATGGTAGCTTTTCTTCGATGTCATTGGCAGTTAAGAGTTGTCAAACCAATGATGAGATTACCTTCTAAGATATAATTTGGATTGAAAATAATTTGTGGTTTGAAGTAATTTGAAAAAAGTTTGGTACCACTTTACAAACTTGAACTTTAACATTTATAGTAAATCCAGCTAGCATTATATTGCCAATCCTAATTAGTAGCTTTTAATTAATGACCTAAATTAATGGTTCACTTGGGTGACCGATAGAAAAAAAAATCGGTTTCAAAATTACAAGGTGATATTATGAAAATTATCAATTATTCAAATGAAACTTAATTCAAATGTTAAACTCACCTTAATTAAAAAATTTTATGTATTTTCTATATCTTAAATTATTTGGGTGTTTTTCTATTTTCATAAAGTTTTTAAGAATATTTTTGGTTCTATGTGTTTAATATTAAAATTTAATTTTTTTTAATTGAAGTTTTATAATTTTTAATATAAAAATAATTTTAAATATGAAAAAATAAAAATTTTAGATGTTAAAATAGAGACATAATTTTAGAATATTAACTGAAAATGGAAGGAGTAAATGATATGATTCCATTAATTAATTAAAATTTGAATGAAAATAATATTTGCTAACACAAATTTGTTAATAGTTTATACTTGCACGTATCCAACAATCAAGAAACAGTCCGCATGCAATTCTTACTGATTTTCAAAGCTGTTTTAAAGCCCGTCTGTCAATCGTTATGCATCATAATCAAGGGATGCCATTCGAGTAAAAGAATCCCATAGAATCTGTGAACAAATTTGACACGTGAAATCACCTTCAGGATCCCCCCTCCCAATCCCCCCGCCTTCTCCTCCGCCAACAAACCCCCCCAAAGAACAAAGTAACCACCAGTGTTTTCCGAACCAGAACACTCTCAATGACGTCGTCCCTTGAAATAGAGTACAGCGTCGACACCATTTCGGCCGTAGACGAAGATGACATCTCCCCCATAGAAGAAGTTCGTCTCACCGTTTCCAACGACGACGACACGACACTCCCGGTTTGGACATTTCGAATGTGGCTTATGGGACTCTTCTCATGTTGTCTTCTTTCCTTCCTCAACACTTTTTTCAGTTACCGTTCCGAGCCACTCCAGGTTACCATGATCTCCATTCAGGTGGCGTCACTCCCTGTGGGAAAGTTCCTGGCGAGAATGCTACCAACCACCAAGTTTAAGATCCCGGGGTTCGGAAACCGGGAGTTCACGCTTAACCCCGGTCCGTTTAACGTTAAAGAACATGTGTTGATCTCTATTTTTGCAAATGCTGGGGCAGCATTCGGAGGCGGCACGGCTTATGCTATTAGTATCGTGAATATAGTTCGGGCATTTTATCATAGAAAGATCAGTTTTTTGGCTAGTTGGATTCTAGTCATCACCACGCAGGTGGAAATTTCCACTCTTTCAATACCACATCATCCTTGGAGTTTCTTTTTCCATTTTTAGTTTGTTTAAATTTTAATGTGAAACAGGTTTTGGGGTATGGATGGGCGGGGGTTATCAGGAAGTTCGTGGTGGAACCTGCGCAGATGTGGTGGCCAAGTAGCCTGGTTCAGGTTTCTCTTTTCAGGTAAAAAGAACACTGTCGTTTTATGCAGTGGCGTATGCCTCTTGATCCTATTAACCTAATGAATTCATTTTTTGTGGCAATTCCTGTAAATGAGAATTCAATTTATGGTTCATTATTTCATTCTCAGGATTAGTACAACATTTAAACTATAGCTGTGTTTAGGATCACTAATCCGAATTAAGTAGATGAATCCAGGTCTAAGCTTATATGAGCTTGAGGGGGTTTAGGGTACTTATTTAAGGTCCATATGTTGCTTGATGCCAGAATATAGGTATAAATGTATTTGGAAAATTGGAATCCAAGATAAATTAAACTTAGTAGGAATTAGGAAAGTTAACACTGAATTAGGAAAGTTAACACTGAGACCAAATAAGCAGATTTTTACTCGTTTTCAACCAAAAAAGAATTAATGAGCAGATTTTTTACTCCAAATATTGGTCTAAACTTCTAATGTTCATCCAGGCCTTAAAATTTCTGGCCACCTAGCTGTTTTTGGTATTCAGGTTTTGTCAGCTTATGATTAGACTGTTTTTCCTTTTTCCAGTTTGTCATAGAGTGCCACTACTTTCCTCAAATCTTTCTTCCATAAATAGCAAATTTTATTTTATTAAAAATTCGAAATCAAAGTTATAATTTGTATTTTTTTTTTCAATTTTGATAGTACAAAATAACATAGTTTTGCAATTGTATATGTTTGTTGTTAATGCTGGAAGGATATGCAAACCTCACAATCTGACAATTATTTTCATACATAATATTTCTAAAGGGCAATGCATGAGAAAGACGGAAGTCGCATGTCAAGAGGAAAATTCTTCTTGATTGCACTTGTTTGCAGCTTCTCCTGGTATGTGTTTCCAGGTTACCTCTTCCCCACATTGTCAGCCATTTCTTTGGTCTGCTGGGCATTTCCCAAGTCAGTAACAGCCCAGCAGATCGGATCAGGAATGCGAGGGATTGGCATTGGATCCTTTGCCCTTGACTGGTCAGTCATTGCCTCCTTCCTTGGCAGCCCTCTGGTCACCCCTCTCTTCGCACTTGTTAATATCTTCGTAGGCTTTGCGTTATTCATGTATATCATACTTCCAATTGCCTACTGGGGAGTAAACCTTTACAACGCCCACAACTTCCCAATTTTCTCCTCACATTTGTATAATTACAAAGGAGAACTATACAACGTATCAGGAATTGTAAATGACAAGTTTGAAATAGAAATGCCAGCATACGAGCAGCAGGGACGTGTAAACCTGAGCGTGTTCTTTTCTCTCACCTATGGTATTGGTTTTGCTGCCATTGTATCTACTCTTTCACATGTGGCTGTTTTCAATGGAAAGTGAGTAACCAAAAGCCTTTAACTTAGCTGTGTTTTGGTCTTAATTATTTTATCTTTGACATAAAAATTTCGTTGAATGCATGAACAGGGAGATATGTACACAACTGCAAGCTTCTTTCGAGGGAAAGGAAGATATCCATACAAAGTTAATGAAGAAGTACGAGAACATACCTAACTGGTGGTTTTACCTGTTGCTTGTGTTGACATTGCTACTCTCTCTTGCTCTGTGTATTTTTCTGAAACATGAAATCCAAATGCCTTGGTGGGGACTCATTTTTGCAGCAGGCATTGCTTTAGTTTTCACTCTTCCTGTCAGCATCATAACTGCCACTACGAATCAGGTAACAAACTCGCATTTTTATATGTATTATGTTCTGCAGGGTAATCATGAAGGAATCTAAAGATAATTACTAAAAGTTAGCAAAAAAGAGCAGCTAATAAATGTTAGTATGTTACATTAAAGAAATACAAAATTATATAGTTCTGAGTTATCGGATCATTTGCTTTTGAATTTCGATATCTGAATACTTTTTGTATCCAGCTGTTCTTCGTGTTGATTTTCACCCTTTCTGTTGCCAGTCACCAGGACTTAATATCATCACAGAGTACATCATGGGTTACATATTACCAGGAAAACCAATTGCCAATGTCTGCTTCAAAACTTACGGATATATAAGCATGACACAGGCAGTTTCCTTTCTTAATGATTTCAAGCTGGGGCATTACATGAAGATTCCACCTAGATCGATGTTTGTAGTCCAGGTATATTTCCTGAAAAAAGCATCTCATATTAAGGGGAAATTCAGACATTTACAAAGACAAACCAGACAACAAAACATTTACAATGTATCAAAACCGAGAAATAATTGAGTGTAGCAGGTGATAAATATAGATAGACTTAAGTTGGACAAGCTAAAAGAAGGGCCCTTTAAATTAATTCTTGCCGTACATGACTCAGCACCTAGTGTCCAAGTGTCTATAGCAGTATATATCAAGTATAAACCCCTTATTTGTGCATCCTGAGATAAATATATTTAAGAACAGAACATTATCCTTATTATAAGGTTACTTTATTTACTAATGCCTTCCTCCTATTTGCGTTCTATTAAAAGGGCATAGGGACTGTAATAGCCGGAACAGTCAACCTTGCAGTAGCGTGGTGGCTGCTGACTAGCGTTGAGAACATATGCCAGGATCACCTACTTCCTCCCAACAGTCCATGGACATGTCCTGGTGACCGAGTCTTCTTTGATGCATCTGTTATCTGGGGCCTGGTTGGACCCAAAAGGATCTTCGGTCCTCTTGGAAACTACTCTGCTCTTAACTGGTTCTTCCTTGGTGGTGCCTTGGGACCTGTCGTGGTATGGCTATTCCACAAAGCTTTCCCTAACCAGAAATGGATCCCACTGATCAATCTTCCGGTGCTCTTGGGAGCAACAGCTGCGATGCCACCAGCAACATCATTGAACTTCAATTGTTGGCTTATTATTGGAGTCATCTTCAATTACTATGTTTTTAAATACCGAAAAGGTTGGTGGCAGAGGTACAACTATGTTCTCTCCGCAGCCTTGGATGCTGGATTGGCTTTCATGGGAGTGCTCTTATATTTCACATTGACCATGCAAGAAATTAGCATATCCTGGTGGGGAGGTGAAGGCGAGCACTGCGATCTCGCTTCCTGTCCAACTGCCAAGGGCGTAGTTGTAGATGGCTGTCCACTGTATTAGATTCATTTGAACTTAAACATCAAATACTTTAGGCTTCCAGGCTCTACCTTTTCATAATTAGCAGATTCTCAAGAAGGAAGAAAAATAAAAGAGCATTTGTAAATCCTGCAACTCCTTCTTTTTCTTTTTTAAATATATTAGGTTTCTATATTGATTTTCTTCTCTGTATATAGAAGAGCTTACAAATCATCAAACTAAGCACTTCCTTCAGCACTGTACCGGAACTGTAAAACATGAACAATCTTGGCTCTCCTCCATAGAACAAAATTAAAACAAAAGGAAAAAAAAAAGGAAAAGACAGAACAGAAATACGAGAGAATATATGATATATCTCTACATTTCAACGACTCGAACCAGCTGGAAGTCATTTTACTTGTCTGCAACTGATCTTGATAAAGGAGCAGCATATCTGGAGGAGAACCCACGATACAGAGCGCCCTCAGTATCATCATCCCCACAGCCGTCATCAAAGTTCTGAGCATAGCTCAATGGGTCGTACCTAAAGCCACAAACTGGTCTTGGTTGTTTTGCCAAGAAAGCTGCCGTTATGCTATTGCCCAAACTTCTTATTTTTCTTTTCGTCCATGGAAGCTTCAGCTTGAGACGACCCCAGCAGGAAAGCAACCCTTCTTCATTTGTGTTCCATGAAGGTGAACTTCTCTCCATGGTTTTTGAGCCTTTTCATGAGAAACTTTCTAGCTTCTAAACGATGAAGAAATGTGTTATTTATGAAAAGATTTGTGGGGTCTCTACATTTTCTCTCGCTTCTTTTATCTTGGATTTTGAGTGTGTGGTAGAGATGAAGGGCATCGTTCCAAAGGATCAGTATGGGAAAAAGGCTGTTCATTCAGAGTTTTATGAATGGAAAAATAAAAATCAGACTCAGAAGTACTGCAGACAAGGAATATAAGGTGAGAGACAAGGGAGTTAAAGAATTATTTGTCGTTATTCATTTCGCCGAGCAAAATCGAGGGAAGACTTAATAAAGTTTTTAAGGTAAAGTTCATACAATTTTTAATTAATAAATTAAAAGATTCGGTTACATAGTTTAAATATGTAAAATTTGTCAGAATTTTAATAAATTTTGATATATTTATTTAGATAAATATTTTAATTAAAAATATTGATAAATTTTTTATTATTAAATAAATATCGATTAAATTTAAATTATAAATAATATTTTTAATAATTTTTTTATATATTATTAATTTTTATATTAAATTCTATCAATTTATCAATTAAAATTTTTTATTAAAATTTTTATTAAATTATTTTGAATACAAAATTTTATGTAAGTTTTCGCTGCAAAATCGTGTGTATAATGACGGTGTAATAAATTTGCACCATTGGATACGCTAAGAAATTGTAGCTTCTTCTAACATTGGAAACTTCATAAAAACTTCGGGTTTAGAACCATAAATGTTAAATTTATCAATAAAAACAAGACCATCGTTGAAATTCCCACGGTTATGAGACTCACAGTGATCTTTGTTGGGTTTATTTTTCTCTAATGATGATAGAAGAAAACCACTCTTTCCCATGAAAGAGACGTTCTCGTTTGATTGTGCACATAAAAATTTGGAAGCTTTTATGGTGAGAATATCCTTAATAAAAGGTTGATACCATTAAAAAAAAACAAGAAAAAACGAAACTTGGGAGGATAAATCACTTGCTTTAAGCTATGGTCCTCAAACCATGTGATTTAGGGACACACACAGCTGCCTTCCTCATCTGGTAAATCCTTTCCTTGGGAATACCTGTCACTTTGTACTAAAGCTTTCCAAAAGATGGATGACTTAAAAAACTAATAACAGCTCATGACTGAAGTCTGAACCTAAAGACAGAATTTTAACCATCAGAAATAAACACGATCATGATCATCAGAAATAACAGCAGGAGGTTTCTTAGAATTATCATGATACTCGTAGCAGATGAAATAAACATGATCATGATGAACAACATGGTGTGCAGATTTAAGCTTAACAATTGAACATTTTCCCACATCAATCACAAAGTCGTAGGGGAATAAAATAGAAGAGGAAGGAGGGAAGATCATTTCTTCTCCTTAAGTGCCAGGTTGAGCACAATTTATATGGTACGTTAACAATATTTTTCCGGTACTTAGATATAGCATAGTGCAAAAATGTCCCTAAATTTATCAGGTATCTTAACATCACAAATTCACAATTCCAATCATTTCGGCAGAGTATTTTGACACATGCAGATTAAATGCCCCATCATAAGTAAAGGGAAAGGAAAGCATCTGGACGATTTCTTTTACTAATAGTGATGTAATGCCATGAGGAACAATGAAATAATCCACAAAGAACCTTCTAAGAAGGAGCTAATTGACAGTATATTAAGCAAAAGACAAAACTATCACATCAGCTGCAAGCTAAGAGAACAAGGCAATCTTGAAAACTGGAAAGCATTTATAAGCTTAAAGAAGCATGTAAACAAATGTTCACGACAGGTAGAAAGTATAATTCAAGACCAAAAAGGGTAATACAAAAGTAGAACTCCAACAGGCAAAAGGGTGAGGCTACATGACTATTTACCAAAAATTGAACTTGGATATCATTCAAGATCGAGGAGAAAAATGGGCAAACTGTAGTCTCCTAGCTTGCAGATATGAGGCAAGCAGTATAAAGGGGCAAGAGTTACGAATCCCAGTCGCCAGCCAAGGAGGAACTAAATTCGGTATGCAACACAGCCTACATCTTGACAGCTACCTGTTCGGCTGAACTTTTCTTCACAAATCCTCTAGTGCACAACTCATTTAGTAACTCCAAAGCCTCATTAGCTAAGCCTTCGTATGCTATGCCTTCAATGAGAATGGTGTATGTAGATTCAGTAGGTTTACATCCCCTCATCACCATATAAGCCAAAAAGTCAATTGCACGATCAGTCTGCCGGGCCTTACAAAGGCCCAACATGATGAAGTTATAGGTTATGGCATTTGGTCTAACACCCATTCTCTCAAAGTCATGAAAAAACTTTATTGCATCATCAACCTTTCCTTCCCTACTAAGTCCTCCAACAAGTGAAGAGTAGGTAATTATATCAGGCTTTAGACCCTTGGCACGCATCTCATCCAAAAGTTTTATAGCTCGATCTGTTTTCCCTACCTTTGAGAGCCCATCAATCACAGTATTATAAGTGATTAAAACAGGCGAGCAAACCTTGGTACTAAGCTGATTGAGTACCTCAACTGCCACATCAACCTTCCCATCTTTGCATAATGCTGTGAGCAAAGTGTTATAGGTCACAATGTCAGGGTAGCAACCTCTAGACACCATTATCTCCAAATACTCAATCGCTCTCTCCATCTTCTTTTCATTGCAGAACCCATGAAGCAGTGGATTATAACTTAACGAATTAGGGGTACACCCATGTTTGGGCATCTTCTCCAGTACATCAATTGCTCGACCAAGTAAACCTTTTTGGCATAAGGAATTAATTAGGATATTGAAAGTAACAACATCAGGAGAACAGCCTTTGCATAGCAAATCAGCTAAAAATCTCTCTGCATCCATCCACCTGCCAGCGCTACACATGCTACGCAAAATAATATTATGAGTAATAACATCGGGTTGGCATCCAAATGATGGCATGTTATTCATGAACTTGATTGCTTCATCCAATCTCCCTTCCTTACAAATCCCATTGATAAGAACATTATAAGTAACCACATCCGGTTTACATCCTCCACTCCTCATTTCATCCAAGAGCTTCATAGCCTGTCCAACACCACTTTCCTTGCAAGTTGCTTCAATTAAAATCGTATATGTAATCACATCTGGATGACATTCTCTCTGCAATTGTTGATCCAAAACTTCCATCGCTTGCTTCAACTTCCCAACGTCACACAAGCTACGCAAAATTGTATTATATGTAATAACATCTGGAGCGACTCTCATTCGATCCAAAACTTGTAAAGCAGTATCAATGTCCCCTGCCTTGCAATACCCACTAATCAATACATTATAAGTTATAACATCAGGAACTGCCCCTGAATCTTCTATAATCTCCATAACCCGTGCAGCCTTCCTAGTCTTGCCTTTCTTACAAAATCCACGAATTAAATTTGTACAAGCTATAATATCAAGAATCTCGCCATGATAAACCATGCCCTCAAGAAGCTTAAACCCTTCTCCCAATTCACCATTTCTAACAAATTTACGAAGTTGATTATTGCTATCAGATTCCTCGAAATTGTGAAAGGAGCCAGACGGACTTGCTGAAACAAGAACATTTCCAAAATACCCTTGCGGAGAACTCTCAAAATTTTGCAACCCACCATTAACACCAGTATTATCAACCTTTGAAACAGCAAGTACCCTATATCGCCTTCGCTTGCAAAATCCCACAGGTTTGCAGCCCATATATGGTTTCCCAGAACTAAAATTTGCAACAGCTTTATCTTTAACACTAGCTTCTAAAAATTTAGTATGTCTTAAATCCTCCCAGTGAAAATGCTGAAACGTACAAAACCCTTCATGGGCATGACTTGTATGCACTATCATATCCATACTTCACCTACGAGTTTGTAAATAACCAAAATATTAATACTCAAAAACCATCCCTTAAAAAATAATACAATATTTCAAAGAAATCATAGTAATACTCATTCAAATGGGGTTCTTTCTAGAGAGTATAGCGAGTGATCTTACCTTGAGATAGGTTTTGTTAAGTGATGACTTGAGAGGTGGACAGGGTGCCGGCGCTGTAACTTTATCCAGTTCTGTTTTCTTCTTGCTATGGTTCCTCTGAAGAAATATCTGTACTGGTCCGACTGGAAGGCATAGGAAAGGCCGCTGCCAATGTTGAGTGGGGCTAATTGGACTAGAGTCCAGGAGAGTGGGCTCCAATTCTTATGTTGAGAAAAGCCCACTGATATGTTATGGACCTTTTGATCTTTCATCTACTTGTTCCAGAGACTTTACACCATTGGACGCATGGTTGTTTCTTGGTGACCTACTTTTGACTACTTAAAAGAAGGGCGTTCAAAAGAAAATAAAAAAAATTAGTGAAAAAATAAAAGAAAAGCCGGGAGCCAGCTGTCAATCGCTGTTCAAATTACCTACCGATCTGTCGGGTTAACATGATACTGCCACCGCATTGAGGACAGAGATCAAAATTCAAAGAATCAAAACAATGGACAGCGATGCTACTACTTCCCCTCTTGCCGACATGAAGAGCTTCGAAAAGAACGTAAAATATCAGCAACTTAAACCAATCTAGCGTGTCGACACACCAAACCTTGTTCTAAATAAATTACAGGTTTTTTAGCTTGGCACGGAACTTTTCTATTTCCACTTTGCTGACGCTTTTGCTTAATTTCCCTTCGAATTAGAGTCTTTGGACCTTGGAAAACCAATTTGTTAGGTGTTCACTGAACCCTGCCTTGGATGGGAGATTAATGATTGAGACATAGAAGTTTTTTTTTTTTTTTTTGTTCTTTTAGGTTGGATTGGAAGATGTTGACGTGGGGATCTTGTAACGAGATTGCCAACAGGGATTTTGAGTTATAAAAACTACAAATGTAAAAATAGTATTTGTCTAATTGGATTTTATGTTTATCTTAATCTCCCATTGTAAAAAGGCTTATGTTGATAAAAAATTCATAGAAAGTAGAAAGTTTTGCGTCCTTACTTTGACCAACTAAAATGGATCGTTATTGGATATTTTAATATTTAATGTACTATTATAATATAAAATTTTATATATTATTAATGAATTAAATAATAATATTTTATTAACAAAAAATTAGTATTATTTAAAATAAATATATAAAATTTTATTTATTAATAAAATATTATCATTTAATTCATTTTATGAATAAGATGATATCATTAAATTTACTATAAATTTATAAAATTTATACACAAATAATAATAAAATATAAACTTTTTTTATAAATGCCTGATTAGCAATGTAATTTGATTTTCATTAAAATCTTTTTATAAGTGACTTTAAATGTATAAAATATTTTAGAAAAACTATTATATGAAACAATTATCTCAACATATATCTCTTTTATTTAAATTATGTCATATAATTATATTATTAACAAATTAATTATTTACTATTAAATAATTAATAATTAATTTATTAAAATTAATATTCACTATTTAATTATTACATATAATACATAATAAACAATTAACTTTGTCAATGATATAATTATATAACATAATTTAAATAAAAAAAATATTGATATAACAGAATTATTTCGAAGAATTATTTTTTTATTGGTGTTGAAATTTGTTGAATCCTTAGAAATACAAAAAGCAAACCTTTCAAGTTATATAGGATAAGATTATTCACCAAAGATAATACTTCAATCAATGTGTCTTTGAATATTAGCTCATTGATATCTACATATAAATACATAATGTTAAAATCGTCAATCATTTGATCAATTAATCCTTTCATCATTTATGAAATATGAAAAAAAAAGAATAAATTAGATATACAAATATTCTCAACATCCTTTTTATTCTTAATTATTTCTTGATCCCTTTTTCGTTTTTTTTATTTCTTTTATTTTTTTCATAAATATTTGATTAATTTCAACACGACATACACCTTATATTTTAATTCTGGCATCCACTAGTTTTTTTTTTTTTTTTGATAAGTTTGGCATACTTAACAGTTCAATCTCTAACTAATTCCATTCTCGCTGAGCTCACGAGTGCATTATAAGTATTCTTATAGCATTGCAATATTTAATGTGATGAGTTGGTAGTGGATGAATAGAGTATTGGAGTATACTAATAGAAAGGAATTTGCGCAAAGATTAATTTATGAAGATAAAATCTTGGATGCTCTCTCCAATCAAGGATTTCACTTTATAAGTCGACTGCCTTACCAACTCCGCCGAGAATTGCACAGTTATCTCTGTACGATCCAAATTAAGATTAAAATTTTTCACGTGTTACAAACTTAGAACAGTGTGTCCACAAAATTGAATGAATCTTAAGCACTCTCACTTTTCACACTCAACCCTCCCTTCAAAATATCTTGGTCCTTTTTCAATAAATTAATTATCTAACATTTAAAAATTTGACACGTGTCCATGACAGGCCGGATGGCCACTTTTGCCCATTATGTTATTATTATGGGGGTTTCTTTTCCTGATGCCTCCAAACCACAAAAAGACAATTAGAAAAAGAGCCTATGAGATTTAAAGAACTCCAGTAGGCGACGTGTCCGGTTTCTGTTCCTTCAGTTCGAGACGTTATATTGCCCAAAAGCTCTTGTGGCTGTAGGTAATTCATCGTGGCCAATGTATTTTATCGACACGTGTCAGTAATTTCCCTTGATTTTTTTTTTTGCCTTTCCCTTGGTGAAGTCGGGTTGCAGTTTGCTTGCCGAACCAAGTCAGCCAAAATTTTTTTTAACGGCGTGAAAACTAGGTACAACAGCGGCGGCTTAGCCGGTTTTACGAAACAACGGCTTTAGACGCGGAAGAGAGAATCAAGTCAACTTTTAAAATAATATAATTCTTATTTCACAAATATCTTATTTTTTCAAAAGCCAAGCTTAAGCTTTAACAAATATCTGATTATTGAATAATTTTTTGTATTTGATTAAGTAGGTAAGGACCGGATTGAGTGGGGGCATCCTCCGTTTACTCTCCCCCACAGTAACTTATTTAAATCCCCCATCACTTGTCTGTCGCTCCTGCTCAGATATTTTCTCTCTTTCTCGCTTCTTTTTTTTTTTTCCTTCTATTACTCTTCTTCAGGATCTCTAGCTTCTTCAGGTATGATTTTCTTTGTCTCCTTAAACGAAACAGATATCGTTTTTTCTGGGATTTTCTCGTTTTTCTTTGGTTCTTTTCTTGGTTCACCTCAAAAATTCGTAATCGGATAGTAAATTTGTTTTTACTTTCGTTTTTGTTTTAAGTTTGCATTCTCAGCTTTAAACGTGAATGCTGATTCGTTTACCTTGAAGCGGTTTGTTGTTTGAGATTTTTACGATCTTTTAATTTGTTTTGATTCGGAATTTGTTACTGATGGCGGTTTAAAACCTTGTTTGGTTCATTTCTTGATTCACCTCAAAATTCGTTATCGGATCGTGAATTTCATTTTTGTTTTTGTTTTGAGTCTGCATTCTCAGCTTTAAACGTGAATGCTGATTCGTTTACCTTGAAGCTATTTGTTGTTTTAGATTTTTACGAGCTGTTAATTTGTTTTGATTCGGAATTTGTTACTGATGGCGGTTTAAAACTTTATTTCGCAGTTACTTTTGTGTAAAATCCTTTTGTTACTGAGAAAGTGATTGAAAACGCAAGCCATCAGAGAATTGTTCTTTTTTTTTTTTTTGAAAACTTTTGTATCATAATCCGTTTTTTACGATATAGTTTTCTTTCCAGATCTCATTTTTTCTCGAAATTTCTCGTTTCTCTTTGTTTTTTTTTCTCGGTTCATCTAAAAAACTCGTGATCTGATCGTAAATTTATTTGTTATTTTTTCAAGTTTCCATTCTCAGCGCATGAATGCCGATTCGTTTACCGTGAAGCGATTTGTTTTTTGAAAATTTTACGAGCTGTTAATTTGTTGTGATTCGGAATTTGTTAGTGAGGGGAGGTTTAAAACTTTGTTTCACTGTTACTTTTGTTTAAAATCCTTTTGGTTACTGTGAAAGTGATTGAAAAAGAAAGCCAGCAGGGAATCGTTCTTTTTGTTGAAACTTGTGTAATAATCCGGTTTGGACATGTATAATTTTCTTTGTATCCTTACACGAAACCGATCTAGTTTTTTTCTCGAATTAAGGAGCCCATTAGCAGTTTGTTTTCGGAATTAATTTTCTTTGACATATATACAGTTGTTTGAGCTTGAGCTCCTTTTTACACTGAGATGCGAACGATATCATAGTATACACGTTTTCAAACAGCTCTTATCTTTTTACAAATTAACATTCCATTTAATTCTGTAATCGTACTATATTTTATGCTTTCACTGTTCGAGAATCATCATTATTAGGGATTAGAAAGTGCATAATGTTAGTACATGGTTCTTTCAATAAAACAATCATAGAAAAACACTTAAAATATTGCAGTAATGGCTGTTTTTATGGTCACGCTAGATTTTTCAGTATATACTATTACTGGCCATTGATTGCTTTCCAAAAACTTGAACGAGGGTTCATAAATATGTTCTCTGTAGCAATACTTTGACTGCATGACTTTTATGTGTAGATTAGCTGTATGGCTGTATTTTTCTTGTGTTGTTCCTTTTTACTAAAGCCTAATTGTAAACAAACTGTTCTTGCTTTTCATTAAAGTTTTGTTGACATAGGAGGAGGAAGGTGGGTTGGGTGCCGAATGACATGCTTTGTATTGGAGCAAGTTATTGAGTTTCCTAGTGTTGCTTTTCTGTTTTAATTGCTGCTATATGGGGGATGATGATTTCATTTCATTGGAACTATTGATGGATTTGTTGCCCTTGCCTTCTAGTAGTTTTTATTATTTTATTCCCATTATTCATATCAAAGTAGTATATTACATAACTCAAAACCTCAATTTGGAACATGACTTTTGTAAAATTTTAGTTTCACCAAGAACATTAAACTTTCTGTCTAACATAAGGACAGTGGCATGATGTTGCTGGATGAGAGCTCTTGAGAATATGTAAAAGATAGGAATAGTTTTGGAATATAGAGCTGGAGGGTGCCCCTCATATCTTACTATTCTTATCAATGTTAGTTTAATTACTCATTCTATGGTATTAGTATTGGAGATAGGCCATTGTTGGATACTTGTTTGTTTCCCTTTTTGTTGCTTCTAGATGTAATAGGAGGAATAAGTTGAGATATTCATTTTCAGTTTGAGCTCTGTGGTATGTATTTATGGTTATGATTTGGTAAAGTGAAGATTTGGAGTAATATTAAATGTTAATGATACATATTTATAACTATATAATTTTAAAATGATATTGTTATTTAGCTTGGAGTTGTGCATTATGTTACATGAAGGCATTTTTTCATTTGAATTTAAGTGAAATTTGCAATATTCTACATAACCAGTAGGAGTGTGCGTTGTTACATCAAGCCTTAGTGAACGGATGACGAGCAAGTTATTAATGTTACCTTTCCTTTCTCTCATACATTGATGTAAGGTAAGAGCTTATTTCTTTGCTTTTCTCTTCCTTTTTATTTCTTGTTTGCTTATCTTCTTTTTCTTTTTTTTTTTTCTTTTTACTATGCTTGATTATGTCCATTGATGAAAATTTTGGCTTCATTTGCATCGAGTTTTAATGTTCCAAATGGAACTCTAAGGTATATGTTAGAAACTTTTACATCATAGGTACTAAAAGAAAAACAAAGAGTTGGATCGACATTAAAATATAACTAAGCTTAATTGCAAGGCACATGTGTCACGGGCTCCGACCTAAGACTAAAAATCCATGCGGCCTTAGGCTTGGAATTACTTCCTTTTAGCTTGAGTCAGCCTAAAATACAAGCGTGTAGGTACTAGAACAACTGGAAGGACAGAATGCGCAAGTTTGAGAGAATTGCTTGAATATGCACTGTATATTATTGAAGCAAAATGTCTGATGATGTACAAAGAAGGGTGGGGCGACCTTCTATTTATAATTGAGGTCCTCAACTCAACCTATGGCAAGTCCCTAAAATTATGGGATTACAATATCACCTAAAAAT